GTGTTTTTCTTCTCTTTCCAGTCAACTATCTTGTGTTCCCTACCATCTCTCATAGGATCTTGCTTAATCATTTGTCCTTCTGTCTCCTAGAAAGGCAACCTCTACCTCTCCTACTTCTTTTCCTTTATGATTGCTCCTATCCTAATACTCTCCCTTAACTCTGTGTCTCCTTCTAACTGTTTTTCTACCCTCTCAAACCTTCTTAAAGGTTAATCTACATTTGCAACCTTCACATTCTCATTCTCACTTTCTCACCTCTCACTCCTTGACTCCCTGTACCATCTGCTCCCACTATTCTAGTAAAACATTCACTGGGTATAGGTTAGTTAAAAATGCAGATCCTGGATTTAAGCAGACCTATATTTGACTCCTGCCTCCTCCTCTTATCAAGCTGTGAGACTTTGAGGATTCTGCTTCATTGTCCTGTGCATCAGTTTCCTCATCTCTAACACAGGTTAGGCTGTTATAACGCTAAATATTTAAAATACTTGACTATGTCTGCACATGCCATGTTCTCAATAAATATTAACTATTATAATTATCACTAGCAGTAGTAGTATTTGCATTTCATGACTACTATCATTATTGTTTGTCAGGTACTATGCTTGCTCTGGTTTAAAATCTTGAATTAAAAAACAAATTCTACTAAATTCATGCAGCCAAGAAAAACTACTTTGCAATGTCCTCACATAATGTTTCTGATATTGTGGCCCAGGATAATCTTTTCCACTTTCAACCAAGATCTGCTCCTAGAAACCTCCTCTCCATAGTGATTCTGTATGATTCTAGTTATTTCAGTTCATACACACACATACATGCACACGCAAATTTATTTGTATCATGTGGATCAGTAAGAAAATATTTAATTTAGCTGTCTGCAGGAACTTTAATCTATGCTGCCTTTGCAGCAAGAAAAGTGTTTTACACAGGTGTTCTCTATGCAGCTGGTAGTCAATAATTGCTGATGAACAGAATTTGTATAAAAGGACTCAGTCCATTCCATGGTCAGTCACAGCAAGAACAGAAAAAATATTTTTAACATCATGTCTGAATCCTACCTGACAACTTGTGAACTGCAATACTTCGAACCTACACAGGCAATTAAAAATGCTTTTTATTGCTGCCTCACCAGCAATCATACCTAAGGTTATCGATATTCTGTGATTAATTACTAAGAAGGTTAGCATGGGGCACTCATTCTCCTCCTTCATCTCCTTGCTATTCTCAGTTTCTTTGTGTCACAAGCTGTGTGCGTCAATATTTACTTTAATTAGGAAGAGTTAATATAGGAAAAGATAATTTGTAATAGGTAGGTTCAGTAAGAAACCAAATTGCACAGCAAGATCTCATGTCAGTGACAAATAGCTTCACTAAGGCATGCAATTTTGTTTATCTAACAATTTACTTTTTGGGACAGCTCATAAATGTCTACATCCCATCTCAGCACTGTTAGGTTAGTCTTACTTTCAGTTGGAAGTAAAGCATGGGATTAGACTGGGAGCCACCTTCTTTTGGATGGGTGACTCCTTCACCACTAGGATCTCATGTTGGGATCCTGAACACTGACTGACCTAATTCCTATAGGATTCAACAGTAAACTACATTACAGGCAAAGAAAATAATTCCTATTTTTCTCTACCTTTAATACTTTTCCTCTCCTTTTCTCTTTATCTTCTTTTTCTTTTCTTTTTTCTGAGACAGGGCCTTACTCTGTAGCTCACTGTAGTCTCAAACTCCTAGGTTCAAGTGATCCTCCCATGTCAGCCTCCTGAGTAGCTGAGACTATAGGTACCCACACCATGCCCAGCTAATTAAAAAAATTTTTTTTTTTTTTTTTGCAGAGATAGGGATCTTTCTATGTTGCCCAGGCTGGTCTTGAATTTCTGGCCTCAAGCAATCCTCCTGCCTCAGCCTCCCAAAGTGCTACGATTACAGGCAGAAGCCACCACATTCATCCTTTCTTCTTCTTTTCTATAAATATTTCAAAACAAATTTGTATCCTAAAAATCTGATTGAAATTAGTTGACTAAGGGATGAAGAATTTAGGCAAGGGGGCTAAAACCATGGTGAGGATGATAATGATGATGATGATTACACAGCTAATATTTACTGAACAATTATTTATACTAGGCCTGTGGCAAATACTTAAAATATATTATTGGCTTTAATCCTCACAACAACTGTGAGAGGTTAGAGTTATTACTCCACCTTACATATGAGAAAACTAAAGTTTAGAGAAGCTAAATAACTTGCCTAAGTTCACAAATCTAAGAAGACTCAAAGCTGGGATTCCAATCTAGATCTATCAGAAGCCAAAGCCCATTGACATCATAAATCGTGTATCTTATGATAACAAAGTCTTTTTTTGTAAACTATTTTTAACCACATTTTGCCCAAAATTATATTTAAGCTTGATTTTATTGTCAATGGTCTAACACAGTAAATGTTCACATTTCCATAATAAAAAAATTAAGTTCCCCATTTAAAGAGTGAGGGAAAAGACATAAATAGCCAAATGAATAAACAAAGCAAAGATCAAATTTCAGGTGTTCAAAACTAAAGGAAATTCAATTCAAGGAAAGTGACCAAGTGACATGGTGTACAAGTCACTGTAAGAACTCAAAGATGAATAATACACTATCACCCCTGCCCCTGAGAAGCTAATGATCTAATGGGAAGCACACAGTATAATATTTCAGGTCTTACTTTACATGTCATCTCTTCAGAGAAGTAGTCTTCCCTGACCACCCTATCTAAACTGTGACCCCATGCCCTGTCACTTGTCTATCATAGGGTCCAACAAACGTTTTCTGTGAAGAACGAGACAATAAATAATTTAGACTTTGTGGATTCTCTGCCAAAACTACCAAATCTGCTGTTGTAGTGTGAAAGCTGCCTTAGTCTATAAGTAAATGAATGAACAAGGAAGGCTGCGTTCCAATAAAACTTTATTTACAAAACAGGCCGTGGCCAGATATAATTCACAGGCTATAGTTTACTGACTGCTACTTTAACATCTCTCTCTGATTTTTACCTTCATAACACTTAACAAAATCTGAAATTATCTTGCTTATTGATTTGTCTACTGTTTATTTCCGGCTGCTAAAATGGCAGCTCCAGGAGAGTAAAATCCTTGCTGCTTGTTCACAGAAAGGACTTAGAAAGGTGCTTAGAAAGGACTTCCTGACACAGACGCAGAGTCAGGAATGTTCACTTTAAACACTCATTGACTGGCTAAATGAATGAATACCATTTTATAAAAAGAGAAACACAAATCACCAATAAACATGTGAACTCTATTTGGCCTTAATAGTAATAAGTTAATGACACAGTATTTTTCACTTGTCAGATTTATAATTGTTAGAAGAGGAAAAACAGGAGAAGGAGGAGGAGGAGGAGGAGGAAAATTAGTATAGATGCATAGGAGGGTAAAGTGGTCCTCTTATCTACTAGTGATAGCAGAGAAAATTGCTGCAACATTTCTGGAGGGTCATTTGCTATTATATAATAAAATGTAGGTACCAATTCAAAAATGGGCAAAAGATTGAATAGACATTTCTCTAAAGATGTACAAATAGCCAATAAGCCCATGTAAAGATGCTCAACATCATAAGACATTAAGGAAATGCAAATCAAAATCACAATGAGATACTACTTCATACCCATTAGGATGGCTATTATAAAAAATAAAAAATGGAAAATAATAAGTGTTGGAGAGAATATGCAAAAATTGGAAGCCTTGTGGAGTGCTGGTGGGAGTATAACTTGTTCAGCTGCTGAGGAAAACAGTTTGGGAGTTCCTCAAAAAGTTAAACAGAATTATCATTCTGTTACCATATGATCCAGCAATTCCATTCCTAGGCATATACCCCAAAGAATAGAAGGCAAATACTTGTGCACCTATGTTCATAGCATTCATTTAATATTGTAAATATTATTTACAATAGCCAAAAGGTGGAAACAAACCCAATGTCCATTAACAGACAAGTTGATAAACAAATGTGGTATATACATACAATGGAATATTGTTCCGTCTTAAAAAAATAAAATACCAATATACAATACAACATGGACAACTTTGAAAACATTATGCTAAATGAAACAAGCCAGACACAAAAGGACAAATAATGTATGATTCCATTAACATGAGGTATCTAGACTAGGCAAATTCATAAAGATAGGAAGTAGAATGGAGGTTACCAGGAGTTGGCGGGAGGAGGGATTGGAGAGTTATTGTTTAATGGGGAGGAAGTTTCTATTTGGGACAGTGAAAAAATTCTGTAGATAGATGGTAATAATGGTTACACAACATTGTGAATACACTTAAGGCCACTGAACTGTATACTGAAAAATGGTTAAAATTATAAATTATATATTATGTATGTTTTACAATGAAAAATGTACGTATGCTTTTTTTTAACTCCAAAGTCACATTCCTAAGAATTAACTCTGAGGAGATAATGCAGAAGGGTGAAATATATAAGTACCAGAATGCATTAACTTTAAGAACCATCAATAAAGATCTAGCTACGTAAATCTTTTTTACATAGCTATATAAATTTGTTGCACCTGGCACATCAAATACATAACAGAGACTATTATGTAGGCATTAAATATGACAAGGTAGACTTTTCATATAAAAACACCTCCATGAAATTATTGTTCAATAAAAAAATAAGTTACAGAATGCATGTAAAATATGATCCCATTGATGTAAAAATTCTAAAGTTTATTTATACATGGAGAAAATTCTAGATATCCTCCAAAGGTTAATAGAGGTTATTCTCTGAATGGTAGATTTGAGATGATTTTTAAATTACAAAGAATATTGTAACCAAAATAACATGCTATTGTAAACTCATGTTTATCACTTTTTCACATTAATTAAGGTGGGTTAGGGCCTTGATACTTACAATTAGATGATTTCTGTATTTCCATTTCCATAGCAATAATAATACTTTTGGGTCAATCAGATATAGTTTTAAAAGAGAAGTACATACCTCGCATAGTGGTGTTAAATCTCTATCATTCAAAAACAGAGATAGTATTTCAGAGCAACATTGAATAATCATGCTCTAGAAATAAGAAGAGGATAATACAGTAAGGTTGATAAATATTGCATATTTAATTTTAAACTATTTTATTTCATTTGTCTTTTCTTGATCATCACCTAACCCTTTTTCCCAGGAAAAGACAGAGGGACTTAGAAGTCACAATACCTTAAGTAATTAGGCTTATTTGAATTGTACTTAATTGTAATTACAGGATGGCCACAAAATATAAGATCTGCAATTAATCACTAATAATATATTATTCTAGGATTCTTTCCCTGCACATTCTCTGTTAATATGTTACAGAGGTATAACAAGTAAAGTAATTCACACCAAAATAGTATTTTGAAAAATCACTTTTCTTCTGAGAAGAGAGCCCTGGAATAAAGAGTTTCAGATCCCTGAAAGGGACTTCAGCAGGGAAGAATGACTGGGGATTGGGAAAGAAATGGGAAGAGTGGATGGAAAGGAAGAGAGCAGGTTAACAGCATGTACACATTTGCATATTATGTGAAAACAGCCATGTTCATGCGCAGACCTCAGACCCATAAGGGACTTACGCATAGGCAGGATTGAATCCTCCAGATTCCCTGTCATTATGATTTCATGTAAGGAAGGACAACAGAGGAGAACCGCAGGCAGTTCTGGCTGTATGACATGAGGTCCAGGTGCTGGGTTGGAGAGGGCAACTACTGGGCCGGATGTGAGGCTTGGGGGAGCGAGCGGAACTCACTGACCCTGAGGGCACTGAGTGCAGCCTTGGTTTCCGCCCACCAGTTCAGTTTTCTGGGAGGCCCATTGTGTTTCCTTTCCAGGCCTTGTCTAGGGCTGAGCATACCTACCACACCCTGACGAATACCGCCTTCCCACCAAGCCTAATTGACCAGAGCTAGGGTAAGTAGTTTTTTCATCACTTGCAACTAAAGGAGTTATTACTATAAAACCGTCAGAGATAAACTATGCCTGCTGCCAATGTCCAGCCTGATGAAGCAACAATTCATTTTTATGATAGTATTACTATATGATGTACTAGCATTCAGAGTAGAGTGATAAAAGTACCGTAATTTTAAAATTATAACTGAGTAATGCTGGTTAAAACTTTACAATAAAGGAGCAAACAACAATTGACCCCCAGCCCAAAACCTTGTTCTAAGTTTTAATAACTGCATAAACATGAAAAAGATTAAATTTTAGAGTTCCAAACCTATAGATACTTCAGTTTGATTTAACAAATATATTTAAGACATTATATTAGGCGCTATGCCACACAAAGATGAAGAAACAGACCCTCTCCTTACAAAATTTACAATTACTGAGAAAAATAGATTTGTACACAACTAAATGAAATACCAAGTAGAATATGGTCAGAACACAGGTACTTATGACATGTCATAGGATCCTAGAGGTAGGAGAGAGTAGTTCTTCGTAATATGAAGAGAGAAGACCTCCTGGAAGAAGAGTTACATGAACTGAGCCTTGAAAGAATAGAATTTCAACTGGCAGAGAACAGAGACCAGGGCATTTGCACGGGAGAGAGCTCTATGTAAGCAACGGGCAGCGGTGGATATCCAAGGAACATATGGAATTTTATATGGTCTTTACCACAGGTATGTATAGGAAGCATGGAAGTGAGAGCTGTCAGAAATGAGAATAAAGAGGTAAATTTTGAACAGGTCACGTAAAAGTAAGGAATTTGGATTTTATTGTCTAGAAAACTAAGTAGGACTGCCCTAAGGGAACAATGAGATTGTTTTAAAAAGATGATCCTGACCACAATTTAAAGGTGAACTGGACAGGAAAGAGACAAGAGAAAGAGAAATCAGCTAGGAGGCTACTCGAACTGTTTGGGCAAGAAGCAGTCATGGCTAGAACTCGTCCAGCTTCATTGGGCTTAGAAAGGACGAAGGGCAGGCAGTACACCCAGCACCGATCAGGGTGTACCCATGCCCTGTGCTGAGCTTTCCAGAACCCCGCTCCACTTTACTAGACAGAGGGGAACACATGTCCACTCCTGTACTCCCTTTATTTGTCTATATTTCTGGTTCAGTTCTTAGGACTGATTAAATTATGTTTTCTCTGTATATTAAAGGTTTCAATAACAGCCATGATGGGTTACCGTCATGATTTCATCTAGAGCTATCAAGCAAAATGACACTGTCTATGTCATTCATCACTTCACATAACAGATGAAGGGCACGACGTTACCTGATAAATGCCTTCCACTGCCTTGTCTCAACATCTATCAAACAGAAATTTCGCCTCGACAATATTCGATTACTCTGGCATTATTTGAGGTAAACCACATATTCGCGTTCTGAAACGGGCTGCGAGTACCTCACCTGACCTTGCTACTGCAGAAATGCAGGGAGGAGAGGCTTGGAGTTCATCCTTCCTGTCAGGAAGTGGTTGGATGCTGGGACTGGGGAGGGGCAGGAGAGAGAGAGGAGTGACCCTTGCTCAGTTTGCGCCTTCTCCCTTAAAAGGGGCCTCCGTTGGTTCACTGAGGGATGGCCCTCTGGGTACCTTCAAGATATTAAAACCAGTTCCTGGGTGGAGTCGAAATCCTCATCATCTTTCATCTATAATACGGAGAAAACATCCTAAATTGTTTTCTAGCCTCCAGACGCTTGATTCCTTCATCTGTCCTTCATAGGCTTGTCTTGGCAAATTGTAGGGTAGATCATGAGACACCCTCCCAGGTGAGGTGCTGCCTACCCCCTCCTTCCCCCATAACCCAGCCCCACTATCCCACAGCCCTTGCCTACAGAACTAAGTTCATTTGCCATTTATTCATTCAACATCTACCAAATGCCTCCTGTATGCCATGGGGTGGGAATAAGAGATGAACAAGACACAGACAGAACCCTCAAGCAGCGCTTGGTCCAGTGAGAGCAGTAGGAGAGACAGACACTTACAGCGCCCTGTGGGGAGATCAGAGAGGAGGAAGCACTTAATTCCACCCATCTCCTTAGTGCCACCTCCTGCTACAGTCACCCTGATCTCCTTAGTGCCACCTCCTGCTACAGTCACCCTGTGCTTCTGCCACAACAGATGTCTGATTGTTCCCCAAACAGGAGAGTCAGTTCCATGACTTCTTATCTCATCTCTCGCCATATCCTCAGTCTGGAATAAGTTTTTTCTCCATAGGTCTCCAGCTAGAAGTTTTACAAACAACTATTAAAGAGGCAATATGTTTCAGTTATGGGGCCAGATATTAGAGATATAAAGATAAATAAGACCCCCAAGAAAGGAATTCACAGTCAAGAGAAAGGAAGAGACATATAAACAGCTAATTACCAAAACAATACAGTAAGGCCTGGGATATTTGGGGGTACAAAGAAAAATAGCCTATATTTCTGTCTACAGGGGCTATAAAATGCTCTCTGAACTATTTAAGCAATTACAAAGTCTAGCTCAACTTTCTCTCTCAACACACGCACGCATGCAATATGTGTAAATGAGATTTTAAAAATAGTAAATTGGAATAGTTTGCGTCAACAGCCCCATTGTTGAGAAGGAAGGCTTCCAGCAACTTTACCTTTCTGTGCAGTACAGAATCCAGGTAATGGGAAATAGAAAAACTGGGAGAAGTCAGAGATACTTTAAGTAGAACTGCATAATAAAGAGCTGAGGCAGTGTGGGAAGGAAAGAAGAAACAAAACAGTCTGTGCAGACTGAGCTGGAGGGATCGTTGTAGGAGTCTGAGCCAAATGAGACAGATGTTGGAGAGCTGCTGTGGATGCCAGGGAGATATGAGAATAGAATAGCTGGGGAAAAGAGAGTTTAAAAAAATTTTTTTGTGTATTATGAAAGGATTTCCCCTGGGATGTTCCTATGAGAGACTCTATAAAGATCTGGATTATTTTCAATGTTTTTGACCATCAGATTGATGTTTCTTTGACTGCCACACTTTGCTAAGACAGAGCTATGGAGTGACTTGGCTCATTATGGATGACACCTGGGTACCTATGGCCACACACTTACAATGACTAAGTTTCTCCATGACAGGGACCTGGTTGTATTGGTTATGTCCCCACCTCCCACCTAAAAAATGTTTGCACATAATAGTTTCTTGAAAGAATTTGATGTTAATTTCTAATTGTATTTTGCTTGATATTTTCATAGTACTTTGATATTTGGGATATGCTGACTATATACTAATTTTAATTGCCTTGTACAATCCAGGCATTCCACAAATGTTTGCTGAACTAATCTTAGGTGATTTGGCAAACATATTTTAAGCTTTTCATATAGGTAAACTTTCATTCCCAACAAGGTGTTTGCATCTTAAAATCAGGAGAGTTTGCATCTATCATATGCTTTAAAGCACCTGGTAGGCTCTGAACATTCCCCTTAACTGTGAATGACAGAATAAAATATCTCAGTCATTCTGAGCCAGTGTTGTTCACTGTAGAAGAAGGGCATAGAAGGTTTTCAAGCCAAAAGTGATTGGAACACCTGTTCTATAACCCTTCCAGTACATCTTAAATTAATATCTGAAGTTCTTGACTTATTCTGGGCCCTAGGGATTTTGAGGGGGAAAAAAGGAAGGGAGTGAGAAAGAGAACAAGATTCACTACCTCCCATATCAACCAAAAGGCACACATTTTTTAGACCATTACATTTAATAACCCACAAACAATGTATGCCGTTACAAAAATAAATACATTATATTATAGAAGTTATGAAATTCTGTCCAATTCCAGACCAGAATTGATCTCATTGACTGTCCTAGTTAACTTCTAATTAGCTCCAAGTGAAGGTTGTCATGACAACAAACTAGCAGATCTAGTCAATGAGATTTTTCTGATACAACCTGGAATCCAGCTTTTTTTTTTTTTTTTTAAGTGCTGGTTATTATTGTGGAAAAAAAGAAAAAATTTATATTGTACTTCATTTCTCAACTTGAAAATGCTGTGAGCTCATTTTCTAGCCAATTCATCTAAATGAATATTAGTGTTCCTTCTGCCTGGGACCTCTCCTATTGCTCTCCTATAATATGTTCATTCACATATGGAACCAACAGAGCTGGAACATATCTAAAATGCCCCACTCTAAAGCTGAAGAAACACTTTTTAAATTGAATAAAACAAATTCAAAAACACAAAGAAAAACACCAAAATTGGAAGGAGTTTGTTCTACTCGAGGGTTGACCCCCCCCCACACACACACACATAACATTCCAAGACATGAAAGCAAGCCACAAACCTTCCTTAAGGCAAGGTGGGTCCTCCAGATTCCCTCTTCTGCTTACTTTCAATCACCACTGTTTAATCCACCCTCATCCCCATTTATTTCTGATTTGTTTATATTCACAGTCAACCTCTTGGCTCAGATGCTGGGCTCATTGTGATGAATTCAATACCCCCACTAGGAAGTTCCGGTGACTCTCTTTCCATCCAAAGAGCCCATTTCTACATCTCAGAGCAGTATTTCAGTGAACAGTTCATTTATTTTAAAAATGAGAGAAAGATCAGCCCCAGGAAAGGGTAAGAGAATGACTCTTGGTAGTAGAGCTAAGTGGCAGAGCATACTCTTAGAATCCTTATTCTGGTGGACCCTCACTCTCTTGCTTTAGACAATCTAAGCTGAAAAGACAGACGAGTTCAGGAGAAAATAATGGTTTGCCATATATGAACTATATAGTAGTGGATTTAGGGACAATTTCTGCAAAGAATATTCTAGACCATGGCTCAAAGGCAGCAATCTGGTAAGTCTGGTCTGTGCTTAAAAAATTGATCATAAGCATTGCACAAAAGAAGTATAAAAATGAAAAGTGAGCTGAATTCTTCTTGAAAATAGACAAGAAAGAACAACCATGCACTTTATAAAAGAAATATATATCTACAGTTATAGCTATAAAATCTACTGTGTTTGAGATAGTTTGAGCAATCTGATCTATTGGGGGATTTATTATAAGCACACTCAGCACATCATTAAGCATCATAATTCATGTTGTAACATCTGAGGATACTGAAAAAGATATGGGACTAAAATTTGAAGACATCTGCTCTATGATAAATCCAGGCACAGGGCACAGAAGACATAAATGCTGGAAAGTGGCATTTTGCAGAGGCTAACTATACTTTCCTGATAGATTCTCTCACAGTTGGGCTTGCTGCTGTTATAACAATGAAAAACGCATTCATTCACTCTACTAGTCAACTCAGACCAAAAATGCCAACAAGTATATACTCTGAAATTAGAAAATTTGCTAACTTTTACATGTTCACATAATAAAAGTGCATAGATGAGGTAAACGAGAAAACATAAGAGCATACCAACAATATTCTTTAAGAATTAAAGATATTTTGTTATGAATAACCAATTAAATATTAACCTAGCAGAAAATGATTTAAGAAAAAAAGATATACTAGACCAAAAATAAAAAGAAGATCTTAAAAGCTTTCAGAGAAGAAAAGCAGGCATGGGACTCCAGTAGCTGGGAATTCAACCAGAAAAGCAGTGCAGAAAGGGTCCAGAGCAGAGCTATGCAGCAGGAATTAAGAACAACCAGTCTTCAACTAGAGCAGGAGAGTAGAAGGTTCCAGGACCAAAATGAGATTGAGACATTATTTGATAAGTATGAACACTTGAGTAAAAATCTATGGATGAACATATGAAAGATCTGCTATAATGACTGAGAAAAAGTTCAGAATAAAAGACAAGTCAAGAAAAACCAAACATATAAAAAAGGAACATAAACATAGTATACTACTTGATTTGGCTGTGAACATCATTTACAGGGTCATAGTAAGGTAAACACTGAATATTGATTTAACTAAATTTTGTGATATAATAATATTTAGAAGAGAAGGAAAAAGGAGAAGTTAGAGAGAAGTATAAGTGAGCTAAATCCTTCTATACCATAACTGAAAATCAATAGATATTATCTAAAATACCTCCAGAAAAAATAATGATTTGTGGCTGTCATTAGCACTATTCATCAGCATATCAGCATTTCTGACTTCCCTTTTTTCAAGCTGGGAGCAGAACTGTTGGTGCAGCAGACAGCTTATTTGGCCAATAAAACATTAGTGGAAGGCATATGATGGAAGTTTTATGGGCCAGTGTGTGATTTCCCCCCTCTTCCCCTCCTGCCACAGTGACTGCCACTGTTCCATGTGATGGGTGAGCCGCTAGCTTGGATGCTGGCTTCTGGAGCAGGCGACATGGAGTAGGCCCCCAGCTGACCCTCTCGGATTTGGAGGTTGGTTGTTACCCCACCTTTCATGACTGATACTGCATATTATTTCTAGATGTGGAAGCAAATAACAAAAGAAAAGAGTTGAAAGTGGCTGCCTCTGCAGGGCATGAATGTGGAGTAAGGAGAGATTGGGCAGGAGGTTGCCCCTTTTTACTTTAAGCCTTTTCGATCTATTTTTTAATAGCCAGAATAAATGCAGAATATATATCTCGAGAAATTGGATTAATGTATAAATAAAAATTTGAAGAGCAGGTAATTAGGAGAGAACATGTATTCCCTGCTCTTCTTGTGTCCAGAGAGGGTAAGGAATTTCCACTATTCTTCTACAGAAGAAGAGACACTTCCAGCTTCTTTTGGACTCATCACTAATTTATCCCCATGAGAGTGGAGTCACTTACCTGATTGGTGAGTTTAGGGGAAGGAAAACCACCCTCTTCCCCAATATACACATCATAAAAAACTCAGCTGTGTGATCAGATTTACAGCATACTCTACAGAAAACAGCCCTTTCTTTGGTTAGAAAAATACATATGTGTAGAAAAAGTCTGAAAAGAATACATGACTATATTTTCTAGTTTTTCTTCATATATCACTTGGGTAATAAAAATGTTTAAATAATAGAGCTTAAGTGAAAAAGTAATATTAATATAAGTCACAAAGAATTGTTTCTTGGGATTCACAGTTATAGCTGAATGATTTCTCTGGATTGAGTTTATTTTCATTCACTGTCAGATTCTTATAATCTGTATTCTGAGAAGAGCTTTGGAGGGGACACTATATATGTGCCAAAAATTTGGGTCATGTCTGGTACTCTGAGTAGAGAAAATAGAGGGCAGAAGAACCACAAAGTTCAAGTTGAGTTATATAGTTCTGCTTTGATGAAATAAAAAACAATTTAAACAATTGTGTATGATGATATCCATCCTCCAATAGCAATGCCATTTTCCATATTTAATAACTTACTTCCATTTCTTTGTCTACTGATTTCTCTTCTGTTTCTTCTTCTGCTGCTTCTTCTGCTTCTTCTTCTTCTTCTTCTTCTTCTTCTTCTACTTCATCTTCATTCATAGTAATTTCAGGAACTGCCGGCAATAATATTTCAGCTATTTGCACAAGATTAGATAGCTTCTCGTGAATTGCAATAACTCTAAAAAATAACAGATATACATGTATTTTATTGAAAAAGTTAAGAAAGGCATTTATTGCAGAATCTATAGGATATGTAAAGTAAGCCCTCAGTTAGTTAACCATTAGACTTCTGACACTGCCAAACATCATTCAATCATTCCTTCAACCAAGACCCATGAGCAAAGAGATACAATCTTAACTTTCACAATTTGTATGGTTCTATTATACACTTAGACAAACATATAATTACAAATTGGCAAAGATGCAGTGAAAAAAAGGTACACATCCAAAATACTGCTGAAGGTGAAAATAAAGAAAATAAGTATGTACGTGGGCAAACAAACTCTAGGCAATAACAAAAGATTTACTCCTATGTAAATCTTAATGCCATGCTATGATGCTCTGGCTGACTTGAAGGTAAGAATCATGACAGGTTAGCAATGATTCTAAAAGGCTGATCAAGGAGTAGCGCACAGCAATTCAGTGTATTGGGGAGGTTGTTGGGAGATGGAAGGAGGGAGGAAGGAAGGGAGGCAGGGAGGGAGGGAGAAGAATCAAGAAAAAAGGAAAAGCAAAAGTCAAGGAGGAAGGCAGAGGACACAGCAGCAATGATGCAAAAGACAGAAAGCTTCAGGGGCCACAGGCTGATGCTCTGAAGGAAGAGGTGGACCAGTGGGGGAGGGGGACAGAAGGTGGAAGGCTTCAAAGGCAGAAGGAGCCCAACGGTCACCCGTGTGGCCCTCAGGGACTCTACTCTGTAGGCATAGCAGCATGTACAGGCATGTGTATGCATCCATACATTTCTCCATTCAAGGAAAGAGGACAATTATTATGAAAAAGAAGTAAATAATCCAAAAAGCAGACTGGTGTCAGGAACATATGCAAGAATGTTAATTCTCCAATTCTCCACAGCATCCTCAGCTGCAGCATGGTACGATACGTGATCATCCTAATGATGGTTCTCAGCTATAAAAAGTAAAAAAACACTTTTAACTCTATGTAAGATGATTTGAATGCATGTAGTGTGTTTTAGAAACTTTTCTATAAAATATGCAAGAGTTGAAATGTAAAGATTTATTGTTAAAAGTTTATTTGGAAAATGTACCCATTAAAAAGTGGAGCATCAATAATGCTGGAAAAGCTTCCTGAGGCCCTGAGACTGCACAGGGTTTGGACTCAAAAGATTCATGCCTGACTCCTTCACACACTGGCCAAGGGACCTCAGACCAGTCACTCAACCTCTCTGACCCTGGGTTTTCTTCTATGACAAGACTGGAATAATAAAATCCACTTCATCCAAATCACAAGGCTTTTGAAAGGATGAAAGGGCATGACTGTGTAAGATTCTTAGCTGTAAGAGTCCTCATAAAGGAAATATGGTATTCTAAAACTTCATTCTCCATTCTAATATAGAGAAAGAATTCTTATTTTTCTTCCAAAAAAATAGTATATCTTTCCTTTATAATACTTAGAATTCTAGGAAGAATAAACTATTCTATGACATTTGGCTTATAGATTGCTAATGAGTATCCAGAACTGTAGTGTAGAGAACTCACTTTCTACTCTGTAGAAATTGTAATCATTTTCTTCATGTGGTTCTGAAGAAAAAAAACCTGCAATGTTTCTGGATTTACAAGGCTAGTGCATAATTTTCTGACTATGTTGCTAAGCTGCGCTGGTATATACCTAGGTTTTCTGCTATTTCACTTAAAAAGAGAAAAGGAAGGGAATCAAAGGGAGGAAGGAAGGAAGGAAGGGAGGATGGATATTGACTGAGTAATTGAAAGCATGCTAGCTCTTGTAACAGCCCATGTTTTATTTTCTTTCACAGCGAGGCCAAGAAGTCATCCAAAGTGAAAATCATGGAGCACGAACAAGACTCTTGAAAGGAGGACAGAGAAGCACCAATTCTCCATTCACTAAGCAGGGGAAAGAGCTGGCACTGATAGACACTGATAGGTGTTAGTGTTTTCAATCATTCAAAGCATGTTCATACATTGTCTGGCTTGATCCAAACAATAAGCCCCAAAGGTAGGCAGAGCAGGTATTATAATTCCATCTTACAATGGAGGAAATAGAGGCTAAGGTCAGATAGGCAATGAACAATGAAATCAAAAAATAACTAGCTAAGCAATGAAAATACAAACAAATGAGGAATTTGGTAAAGTGAAATAGGAAAAGAGAAAAACAAAGCATGAGCAAAAAGCTAGAGATATGCCCTGTGTGATGGAAAGAGAGGAAAACAACCTGGCCAAAGCAGAGATTTTTGACTTTGGAGCAAAATAAAATAGGACTTGGTACAGAAGGAAAGGAGCATGGAAGGTGGTGGAGTTTGGGCTTAATTTTGGAACTCTGTACAGAACCACATTTCAGTATTTTTTAACCACAGCAAAACATGGTACAGACAACATCTTTGTACCCTCTGAAATCTCTATGAAGTGTCATGAACATTCCTTCAACCAGCCTAGGTACTATTATTAGTATTGGATCATTAAATTTTAACTGTCTGACTTTGAATCCAAAGTATAGTTTATAATATCTCAAATAAAAAGCAGTACAGTTAATCAAAGTATGAAACGAAACTATGGACACAGTTTTGCCATCTTAACAGTAGCTTGTTTATGCCAGCAACAAAGAAGCCTGGAGAGCCAGTGGTGATGAAATCACAAAAGGCATTTTCCACAGCTTGTTGAGAATTGAATATTTTTCTTTGCAAGAAGTGGTCCAAAGCCTGGAAGAAGTGCAAGTCAGTTGATGCAAGGTCTGGTGAATACAATGGATGACAGAGAGTTTCCAAGTCTAGCTTCTGTAGTTTGAACAGCGTTGTTCATGTGATACATGGTTGAGCATTGTCTTGCAAGAGGATTAGCCTATCTCTATGGACCAATCTCAGCTGCTTAATTGTAAGCATCCTCATCATTTTGTCCAGTTGAATGTAGTAGACATCTGCTGTAATCGACTGACCAGGTTTCATGAAGCTATAATGGATATCAGCGCTGGACCACCAAACAGATACCATTAGCTTTTTCTGATGACTATTCGGTTTTGGACTGTGTTTTGGCATTTCACCTTATCCAATCATTGTGTCGAATATTTGCAATTATCAAAAAGAATTCATTTTTCATCACAAGTAACAATACTGCCTTTATGTTGTGACAGAAAAGAAAGGCAAGCTTTTAGATGATTTCTCTTCTGATGCTTGTTTAATTCATGCAGTATCCATCTACCCAGCTTCTTTACCTTGCCCATTTGTTTCAAGTGGTCCAATATTGATGGAATAGTAACGTCAAACCTTGCTGCTGATTTATGCATAGGTTGAGATGGACTCGCTTCCACTACAGCTTTCAGCTCAGCTCAGCATTATCCACCTTGGTCCCAGGTCACCCACATGGCTCATCTTCAAGATTAAAATCACCAGAATGGAACCTCTCAAACCATCAACATATTGTGTGTTCATTAGTCACATCCTTCCCAAACACTTCGATGCTATTCCAAGCTGTCTGTGCTGCATTGATTCCACGATGGAATTCATATTAGAAAATAACAGGAATTTTTGACTTATCTATGATTTCACAAAATTACTCTAAAAAAATCACAAGCCAAAATATATGTTTGAAAGACTGAGAATGTGCCTTCACGGTAAAAATAAAACAAGAAGTGTCAAAATGAAATGCCAGAGACATCAATTGTCAAACTTAGTACTTAAGGAAATCGGACATTTCATACTTAATAACCTAAATATTATTCCCATCTTACAAATCAGGAAACTGAAGCACAGAGAGGTTAAATAAACTACCCAAGTTTACAAAGGTAGTAAGGGGGACAAATTGGTATTTGAACCACAGCAGGCTGGATTCAGAGTTCATGCTTTTAACCACTGCAATGTAATATTTCTCTAAACCTGTGGTCCCCAGCCCCTGGGCCATAGACTGGTACCAGTCTGTGGCCTGTTAGGAACTGGGCTGCACAGCAGGAAGTGAGCAGCAGGTAAGCAGGTGAAGCTTCATCTATATTTACAGCCACTTTCTATTACACCATACCCACCACCTGCTCCCATCTCTTGGTCCATAGAAAAATTGTCTTCCATGAAACCAGTCCCCGATGCCAAAAAGGTTGGGGATCACTGCTCGAAACAAAAGGAAGTTTCTTCCAAAGATGCCTTATAAAAGGCCTCTTGTGCTTTACCTTGTACCTTCCCCAAACAGGCTGTTCTTATGAGAAATAGTGGCAAAGACAGAGAGTTGTGGATAATCCACTTTTACTTGCCTGTTCAGTGGAAACCATAAGGAACCAACAGATATATTGTGGTAACTGGAAAGTCTAACATCTACCACCTTCACAGGCTTTATATTATATGCATACAGCAATAAAACCTATAAGAAAAATTAAAGACATTTTAAATATAAAATGTGACATCAAAATTATAGTTTGCCTCAAAAGATATATTAGTTCTCAAAATCATATCATTGCACTTTAAAGTTTTTCCTCAGAAGAGAAATATTAAGGGTTTTTTTTTTTTTCCAATTCACTTTAAAAAGAAATGATGTGCACAAGAATTGTGCAAAGGTTAGAAGATGAAAATAAATACTATCTGGTGACAATATTATATCATTTTTGAAGAGTGACTTTTTATACTGCAATTAGGTTTAAATTTCAGTCTTTGAAGACCATCTACAGCAAACACTAAACACTAACCATATACCTGGGGACTATCCAACTTCTTTTCTTGTTACTTCTCAATGTGTACCTTTTCCATCAAGGGGCATGGCTACTTCTGTGAATTCACTTATGCCATTCCCTTCTTCTTTTCTCCACTTAACACAACCTTCTAGCCCCCACCTCTGTGATAAAACTTCTCTTGATGATTCATGCTCTAGTAATTTCCCTGTTTGGATTCTAATAATTCCAAACAGGAAATTAGCATCAGTCCCATATGATATAACACCTATATAGTCATCAATTTATGGAATTTGAGATTCATCAAACCTTAAAGATAATCTAGTCTAATCCCCTCAGTTTAGATATGAGAAAGGTAAGGCCTAGAGCTGCTGGTCAAAACTGACTAACTAGGAATGTAGGGGCTCAGAGAACAGCACCCCAAAGTATGGCGCTTTGGCATGCTGAGCACTTTTCAATGAAAGGAAATCAGAAGGCTTCAGAAGATGCCTCAGAACCGAGGACTTTCTAACCTTCTCCTGTCCAGTCACTCCCACAGCACAGGTAGGGGTTCTCTCAGTAAGTTCCCTTCTCTGACGGACAAAACTTCTTCCAAAAGAAGTGCAATTATCTTGAAATCGCCATTCAAGACAATAGAAATCTCATCAAACAACCAGGAAAGATTACCATAGAAGAGAAAAGACTAAAACTAGTCACTTTGCCCAGATAGACTTTCCATCTATTCTTTTGAGAGCAGCTCAGAGAGATTGCCTGGGAGACTTTAAATGTGTGATAAAACAACAGTTATTCAAAGGGCTGCCCCACCTCTCACCTTCCCATGTCCACAAGCTATTGTCTGTTCTTGGTCCCATCCCGTTTTCAAACAGAATCATTTACAAACTATTATCCTTTGGCTCTATTCGGTTCCCCTAAAAATCATTTACTACTCCTTGAAACTGCCTATACCTCCACTTCCCTGTCTCCTATGAAGAAAGGGGTATAAATTTCTGAATCCCATTGGGTAACTGAGTAATTATTTTCCTGTGATTTTCCTGTGTTTATGCACATTAATAAATCTGTATGCTTTTCCACCTGTTAATGTGCCTGTCATCAGTATTATTTTGGCAGGCTTAACGCCCAAATCTTCAGACCGGGAGGAGAAAACTCTCTTCACCCCTACAGCTACATGCATTTATCTCTGCTTCCTCACAAAGTAAACTAAAATAAGAGTAAAAGGGATTTTGTTTTTTTAGAAAGGCATAAATCCACAAGGACAGAAAGAACAAGAGAGAAAGTAAAGCAGACAGGAGAGGTTTGCAACACTTTGAAGGACAGAAAGCACTTGGAGGAGCACAGCTGACTCAGCAGAGGGGAAGGGCTACGCGTATGGAAGGAGTTGCCAACAAGTATGTCTGAGACCCCTGAAATGGCTCGGGGACTGGAGGCTCAAGTACTTTAGCAGGAGTGGGTGGGACTACAAACAAGAGTGCTAGACAACCTTCCTCTCATCCCTTCTATGGGCCCACATACAGCCAGGAGCCCCCCCCCCCCTTCCCTCCTCTCTCCCTGCCGAACTTCATCCATTTTACTCTCTGCCGATGTTAAATCAGAGAGGATCTATGCTGAAGGCCATTAGGTACAGGGCTGAGGTGTATTGAAAATATTGGAATTAAGTGAAAGTCTGTATTCTGAACAAGAAACATTCTCCTACCCCATAATAACCCCCTCCCAGAACATAGGAAAACAGGCAGGAATCTAAGAGAATCCTCTTTAGAGAAACTGACCAAAGAGAAAAGACCAACACATTCTGACATTTCAGCATCCTCCAGTGAAACTCCTGTCTCCTTCTACAATCACCTTACAATGAGGCCTAGATATCAATAAGTCTAAGCCAATATGCTTTGCAGCGCCTCACTCCCAACATGAACAGACAGCTAAGAGTCACTAGACGGGAAAGGAAAGGCAAAAACTAAACATAACAGAAGAATAGAACTTGGAGAATCAGATACAAGACAGAACAGAAGAAAACCTTAATGAAACCATAATTAATATTCTGAGAGAGAAGAAAGACAGTATTGCATCTGTGAAACAAGAACACAGTGCTATTAAAATGGAACAATTAGAAAAGAAAGATCTCTTAAAAATTAAAAATATGATCACAACAATGAAATAATAAATAAAATACTTGAAATATAAAGTCGAATCCATGTCTCCAAAAGTATAACCTAAATTTAAAAGCTTAGATAATAGGAAAGAAAACGAGAAAAGTAAATACTTAACCCAATAGGTTCAATATCTGATTAATAGAAATACAGAAGGCACCAAGATAATCAAAGGGAGGAAATTATTTTTAAAATCTCGTGAACTGAAGAATATTACTTTTCATTTTGAAAGGGCTAGTTTAAGTGTCCAGAACAATGGATGAAGACCCCATACCAAGGCACATCATGGAATTTCAGTACACAGGGTATAACAGAGTAGTCGCTCCTCCTCCCACAGATATGGAAGTGAAATATTGAGAGTGGGGAATATGTAACAGAGGAAAAGCCTGGAAAACTTCCCCCACTCTTTTTGGGAACTGCATTCTGGCCTGCATCCCTGAGGCAGGTTAAGTCTTTTGTTAAAATTCCCAGGTGGCTTTGTCTTTGGCAGAGATGGGACATTTAGAATAATGAACCACAGTAATTGCCTGAAGCTGAAAACCCTCCCTTTAAAAGCTCTGTATGTCTGCCATGTTTGGGAAATTTGGGATTTTGAGACTAGGTCTACCACATTTCCTCCTTTGCAAAGTAAACTCTCTCTTTCCTTCCTCTTCAAACCACTCCTAGTTCTTCTGATTTGGCCTTGTGGCAAGTGGCCAAGCTTTCAGCAATAAGGGGACAAAGGGAAGATTCCCAAAGCATCCAGAGTCACAAATAAAGAACCAAGCATCAGCATGGGAGCAGACTTCTCAACAGCAATGCAGGATAGCCAGAGACAAAGGAATAATTCCTTTCTAATTTGAGGAAAAATAATTTTCAGCCTAGAATTTTATGCCTAGAAAACAGTGAATTGAGCATTAAAGTAAAGACCTTGTATCAGGTATCCAAGGTCTTTTTACCCCCGGGGTTATGTCAGTCTGTTGCAAACCTGTTACCATCTCAGAGGAATATAGCCATGGTATTGGCCCTTGGCCAAATCTGAATAAAATGTATTAACTAGTGATTAATGGAGTCCTATCCTAGGGTCTGAAACACACCAGGGAGCAGCCTGTAACATCTTGCCTGCATTTTTCATAGAAAACGTGTATATTGATAATTGGCATCTGGATTCTACTGTTATCTTTACTTCTATTAATGAGTCTGGTGCCACATGTAGTTCTGACTACATGAACAGAGAGATATAAAAGACTCCTCCTCAGATATAAGACAGCAGCTTGAGACCATGTCATGTCATATTTTGGTGGTTCATAATTCATAGATGAACTGTATCCTGTGCACCTGATAAAGGATCCTGGAAGCTGCTTCTGGATCTCTCAGGTCTCCCTAATGATTTCCTCTGCTTTCTTTATCCTGCCATGCCTCATCCTTTACTAGAGTCTTTCATGAATATACTTTGTGAAGACTGGTGAATCTTTTGAAAAATCAGAACTTTTAATATACCCTTTTTCAGGAAGCTGGAAGATGTGTTTATCTTTGCTCATAAGAGAGTAAATCAAGACAGAAACATGAGACCCAGAGAACCCAACTCAGAGAGAGATGAAGGAACTCTCAAGAGGATGGCAAATGGGACTCTTCAGATGACAGCTGAGCTATGAGAGCAATCAGCCAATGTGGAGCACGGCTCTGAAGAAGATACAACAATGGGACTGAGAGATAAGTCAATGAATTTGACCACATGGGAAGGACTGTATAATTCTTGGAAAGTTTGGGAAAAATTAGAGATTCTGAAATACACAGAAAACTAAGCCAAACAAATATAAGGCAACTTTTTTCTTCAGGAAATAAGAAGGCAGAAAGAAAAGAAAAAATACCCAATATTTGGCTCAGCCATGAGTAATATTTACATTGTCACAACACAAACACCGACTGCAGTTTAAGCAAGAACTGTGATAGAACTAGATTAGGAGAAAGTGCAGAGGGGAAGAGTGTGTGAGCGGGGGAAAGAGGTTGACGTTAGTCGTCATCTTCCATAGTAATGTGTGAGGTTCATCACTCAGGAAATTGTCATGTGAGAGTAGACACATGGGAAAAAATACCAGAAAAAAACAAAAATGGCTGAAAGGGTTGAAAGTAGCTTCATCCAAGGAAGGGGATTTAAGGATGAAGGTGGCGAGGCAGAGGACTGTTCTTTTTCACTCATTAAAAATCTTTCAAAATTTGATTTTTCAAATTGTATATTTTTAAAGGAAAATGGATCGGGTCCTAGAGAGATTAGGCCAAGACCACACACTTCCTTAAGGTGTTTGCTCTTGTTTTGTGTTTGTTAACCTTGACTTCCAGGGTGGAATATAAAATTCCTGACAATGGGAGTGGCGTCTTGTATTTTTTAAGTCATGCTCACAGAACCTGGTATGTGTCAATTCATATCTCTGAACTTTTCATTACATCTGTTAGGGGCTAATGAAGTTCCCTAAAGTATGTCAGTGGAAAAATTTAAATAGATAGCATGCTTCATGTTTAACCCCCATAATGAAAATAACTTCCGCCTCCTTTCAAACTGGTCCTTGTCAATTAAT